AAAGAGTCGCTCTGCTCGAGAGCAGCACCTCCCAAACCTGCTTCTTGTGTCGTTGCATTTCTGGCCACTTCGAGGGCTGAGTTTGGGGCTACCTGAGCTTGGCTCTGGCCCGGTACAGAGGTTTTGCAGCCCAACCCCTCCTGCCCGAGACAGGACCAGCGATGGCAAAGCCCTCTGGAAAATGCCAGCACCAGTCCAGAGCAATCCAAATGCATCACCGACTCACACGATTTTATCATTTCACCGCAGGGAAAGCAGGTCACGTTACACACAGCCCACCCGGGGCCCAGACAGGGCTAAATGGGTACATCCATCTTCCGCTCCTCATCAGAGGCTGTCCATGCCAAGGTGCCAGTGCCCCCTGTAAGCCAGGGCTCCTTTCCTGCTGCCCTTCGAGATGAGAAGAGAGCAGCAGCCGGAGGCAGAGGCCCGAGGATGCTTGCTACCTAGCCCTGCAAGCACCTGTTTTGGGGGGGTCTCCACCGTAGAAGAGAAGTGGCTGGTGAAAAGAGGACGGAAGGCTCCCGGTGAGCGAACAGCTTCCTTCCCACCAAATCCAGCCTTCGGCCCTGCCTGCTCCCATAGGCAGGGCCAAAACCAGGGGAATCAGATCCTCTCCCCAGCCCCACAGAGCCACACACAGCCACAGCGTAGTGGAAATGAGTTTATTGACACGGATGGCAGGTAAAGCCTGAAGAGCAACACAACTACGCGGCGAACACTCGAACGAGCGACGTGGCGGGAGAGGAGGGCAAGAGGCCACCGACCGAGCCCAGGCTCCGCCCTGCAGCACAGAGACACCCATGCGCCCGAAAAGCTGGGAAGAAATTTGGCGAGAGAAGGGGGTGCTCAGCAACCCCTCCCCACGTCGAAGCTACATCGGCTGGTTAGTGGAGGAGGTTTAGTGTTTGTTCCTGACCCTCTACCATCTCCTCCCTGCCCCGACACAGCATCGCACTCAGTACCACTGGTGCTTCCTTAATTGCTCTATTAATCATTTTTGCAGTGCACCCGCAGGGCTTGGAGCAAATCACCTCCCAGCACACGTGGGCAGGGCTCAAAGGCTGGATTGCTCCAGCTCTGCCCCACTTTTTCCCCAGCCAGAGCACAGGGACACCACCTTCCTCAGGGTCCTGCAGCTCCCGTGCCCTGCTGGAGTCTCTTCCAGGGCATTGTGACCTTTTCCCAGCACTGGCTTCTTGGTTGCAGACAGTGCCAAAGCCCTGATGAATCATATCCCACCGTAAAACATTTATTGACTTTGAATGTGGCATCTAAAAAGACAACATGGGGGTTGCTATGCATAAGAGCTTTGCTTGCTGGGGAGGAGATGGTGTCAAAGCATGCTGGGGAGGGCGAAGCCGTTCTGGTTAGTGGCTTGGTTTAAGCAGGACAAGCTATGGATGGAGCAAGGACATGCAAGAGGCTTTGCTTTCACTGCTGTTGCTGCAGCACTTAGTGGTTGCAATGTGGCAAGTCCACAGCCATGGACTGGAAAGGGAAGCAGTCCTGGCCCTAAGGGCAGGTCGGAAAAGAGGGGCCAGGGCATGAGGCTGCTCGGGACAGGGGGTGAGAGCAGGAAGCCGACTGGCCCTTGTTACCGTGTGCCTCTGGGCACAAAGAGCCAAGCTGCAACTGGAAGAAACACTTCCACGATCTGCTCGACTCAGCCCAGCCGGGACCTGAAGTCCCCAGGCAGGCAGGGTGCAAACACCGCCAAGCTCAAACCATCTCCCATCACGCCACAGCCTGGGTTTTGGGGGACAGCACGGGAACAGGGAGAGCAGCTCCACTCCCTGCGGCACCCCGGGACACTGCCAGCAGCGGCCCCGCTCCGTAGGGGCACAGCTGATGCCCACAGCCCCGGTGGGGAAGCAGCACTGCCACGTTCGGATTTACCACCGCGAGCCTCGGGGGTTTCCGGAGGTTAGCACAGTGCCAGGTGAAGGTGGCACAGCTCAGGGGATGGCTGAGAAGGCAGTTTGGCCATAGCAGGCACGGAAAGAACAAGAAGAGGGGCTGTGGATGGGTGAGGATGCAGAGACCATACCTGGAGCTCTGGCAAGAGCCTTTTGCTCTAAGAGTGGGCTTGTTTCCTTCATTTCATCCACCGCTGTCCCGTTATCAATCTAGGTCTGCAGCTCCTCCCCACGCAAAAGCAGCCTCACTTCTCAAGTCAGCAGCTAATGAGCCAGGGAGATGGTTGGAGTGAAAACACACCATCAAAAGCAGAGCCGAGTCTGCCAGCACAAGTGTAATAAAAAACCCCTCTCTTTAGGGCTCCATCCGCCTCCACGGACCGAACTGATGGCTCTGTTCCTAGTTCCCCGAGGCCACGCTCACCCTGCTAGAGCCTGACAACCCTGCAGAGCTCCCAATACTTCCTTGGAATCGCCTTCCCTTTAAGCCAATTACAATAGAAAAACTCAAAAAAATGTATAAAAATATAAAATAAAGTGCAGTGTTATGTTTTCGACACTTTTGCCTTGTTTTAATGAGCCGACTTGTGGTTTTTGCTTGTTTTTTTTTTCAATGAGCGGTATTTTACAAAATCGTAACTACGCCTAAAGCCATTTAGAAAACACTGAACATTGGCACAAAATGGAGAAGCCCACGAGGACGGACAACGAGTGAGGGGCGAGGGGGACGTGGGAATAGTCGAAGCAGTGGTTACAAACTCCATGGACGCTAAAAATATCAAAGGGGTTTGTTCCTTATCATCATTAGCACGTGGATACTACTTGCTACCTTGTTTAATCAGTGCCTTTGACTGAAATCCTACACATGAATACAGCTGCTTCCAGTTAAGAGTGCTTTTCCCCGCGTCAGTGGTGAAGGAGGATCTGGGGACCCCTTTCTCCCCCCTCCTTCTGCAGGGTGAGGCACAGGCTGATCTCCTGTTAGTTTTTCAAGATGGCATCGTAGGCCTGGTAGATGTACTGGGACACTTCGGGAGCTCGGCATTTCAGGGAGAGCTGCGGAGAGGAGAGGAGAGGTTAGCGGTGGTGCAAAGGAAAGCAGGAGCTTTCTACCATCTCCATGAAGGCAACTGGAAATGTCCAACCTACAGCATGGGTTTGGACAGATCATGGACGTGGCTGATGACAGTCACCCAGAACATTTCTCCTGGGTACTGCTTTTCTTCATCACCAACACCAAACTGCCTTTTCAGAGCTTGCTACAAGCTGGAGGTACATGAAAGCAAACTCCCACTCTGGGGTTCCCAAATTCCTTAACAAATGTAGGTGACTCTGCAGGCATGAAGGAAGTGGTCATTGCCCCAAACTCTGAGACAAGGGACTTGCTTGCCCTCATGTTGTAAGTCACAGCACTAAACCTGGGGGCTTCTAACGATTTGCTGCTCAGTCCTGACGGACACAAACTTGGCTGTCACCCCTCTCTAAAGCAAGGATCAGGCTGAGACCAGACTTGCGGAATCAATCCTTGATGCAAACACTTTAAACCACCTTCCAACACTCGCTTTCACCCCATGGGATCCCAGACCATGGATTTTTCTTGAAACTCCTGGAACAGCTTCTAACAAGAGATAAATCCTCTAATACCAGGATGCTCAGACACACAGGTCCTCAGAAGGGGAGCAAAGTCAAAGAGAATAGTTATAGCAGTGCGCGATGCAGGACAGAGTGCACCTTCCCATCAGCCACAGGCTGATGCCAGCACAAGGCCAAAGAGCCTCTGACATCCAGACAGCCGGTCTCCGCTGCGGGAACGCAGCAGGGCATAAATTTCTCCTTGTTTATGAGGGGGAAGGGCATCCTGGCAATGCTTTCTCACTAATGTCTCTTGGCTTTATCTCTGGGTAACCTTGGCAAGTAACCGCTCATTGCTGAGTGGGCATTATCCCAGCTCACTGGTGACAGAGCAGTGCGATTCTGTTGTTTCTCACTTTTTTCCAGTTCAGTGGGCATTCCTAACCCCCTCAGTCAAATTAACAGGATCTCCCCCAAAACAAGCACATTAGGCAAAGCAGGCAGAAATCGCTCTGCGTGTGAGGCGAGTTAGAAGGATCCTAGCCTCTGCCACGTGCCCTCCGCAGTCCGACACCTCACCGTGTAGTTTGGGTTCCCTGGCTGAATGCGAAGCTCGGCCAAGATCCAGATGCCGTTGGTGAGTTTCAGAGACTGGTAGAGCATGTCCTGGCCTTCCACGTTCCTCTTGGCAATGGTGTAGACGTTGTTGTTCTGCAGTTTGCTGGAAACGGTGTCTTCAGAGAGAAGGAAGAAAAACACATCTGTTAATTCAGATTCATCATCTGCAGAAACAGGAGAGCCCAGAGGAGCGTTCCCAGGATGCAAGCGCACAAGGAAACGCCAACTTCTGTTGGCGTTTTTTCCCTGGGAACAGGAGCAGACATGACACAAGGAGAAAAAAATTCCAATTTGCTTCCATGGACCCACCTCATTCCTTTCAGGCTGTGATCCCTTGCGAGGTATTTGCCCATCTTGCAGGGCTTTCACTTATTGCTCACCGCCCTGGGTCACTCAGGAGTTGCTGCCTTTATCAAGGCGAGAGTCTGCAGCTCAGAGGGTAAGAGGACTCTGCTCTATCTATAACCCCCAACAAGCCCCAGGCAGGCTAACCTGGAGGCAGCTGAAAGTTGGAAGATGAAGGCGGAGAAGAACAAAGATCCTTGCCTGAGGCTCGCCTGGGTGCCTGGTTCTGAGGTCCCATCCCAACCACAACAGCTCCCCTCCTGCTTCCCCCCCTCTCACGCACAGACACCTCTGGCCAAACCAATGTCCTACAAGGTAGTAAAAATACTTTCCTTTTTTTTTTTTTTAAAGCAATCACTTGAAAGGGTAAAAACCCACAGACATCTGTCTCTAGACATCATAGGGCTGTGATACGGTTTTAACACACTGTATGACCTCAGCACTCGCAGAAGATGTGTGATTTCACCTGGAGGCCTACATGGATGTAACCATGACACATGTTATTTCTAAGGGATCTCTCAAAGAAACAAGCGCAGAGGCAAATACGCAGAACACAAAGACCCAAACCAGGGGCCTCTGGATGCCAAGGGGTTTCTCAGCACAGCAGAGCAGAGCAAACCTCAGTCTTCGGATGCCAGTAAGAGCGGCACATTCACACTTTGGGTGGAAGGCTCAGGGAGGAGACTCCACACCTGATAAGCATCACTGGCAAATTCCCATTCCTGGTGCAGAGAGCATTCAAGCTCTCTGCCAGGGCAGGGCGGAACACCCTGTCTATGCTGGGCCATTATCAGCAGGTTGGGCACTTTCAACAGAAAGCAAGGGAGAGAAGTGGCCTTAAACCAATTTGCACTGACAGCCAAGAGCCTGGAAATGTGGGATCCATTTCGAGGAGCAGGATAGCAGCAGAGAAGCAGCACAAAGCGTCGGTGCAGCTCTAATCCATCCCTGCACCTACAAGCACCAAGATCCACCAGCATCACTGCCAGATTTGAGAACGGACACAAGTTTGTGCCGGTGCACGGAGGGGACAGCAGAGTCCGTTCATGCACCAGGGAATGGTAGAAGCAGGAAAGAAAGGGCCCCACAAATCCATACACTGATGCAGAGGCTTGGACCCGCTGCCCCTCCCCGGGGCAGCGTTGATAACCAGAGCTGCGGAGCAGCTCCGTGGGCAGCCTGGACCCTTTGCCTGCGGCTGGGCTAAACCCCTTTGCTCCCCAGGCTTCAGAGCGGCTGCGTGCAGGTCGAGGAGGGTTCAGGCATCCAGCTACCCAGACACACACTCAGATTTAGGTTTCCTCTCTTCCCCAGTTACTATGGAAACTGGCAGATATAAGTAACTAATGAGATCCTTTGCTTAAAAACCCTCATTCCCTCTGTCTCCTCCTCCCACCTCTACTCCTCCTCTATACAACAAACTCATCCACATTAGGGAAACGGGCAATGCAGAGCAGTCTCCTGCTCGCAGGGAGCGTGGCTGGGAGAGACCTGCACTGGAGGGACATCACCCACTAGGGATGAAGCCCAAAATACCATCTCCTCATGCCCCCCCCAGCCAGCGAGAGCTTTGCGAAGGCACGATGTTCAACACAAGCACTGGCTCAGAGACTGCATCCTTGTTTGCAAGGGACATTGGTATTAAATATGATTTTGTTTGCCCAATTTTAACAGGCTGTGGTTAAATCTCACCGGTCTGAAGCTCCTCTGGGCATGTATCCTGGAAGTGGAACTGCGGCAAGGGTTCGAGACTTTCTCCAGCAATCTTTATACCTGCCGGCAGCAGTCTCCGCCGGGGGATGCTGTCAGAGCAAAGGCATTCCCCAGGGAGTGTGGGTGCAGGGTCGGAAGCAAGGCTGCAAGCAGGAAGCCGTAACTTTGGCAGCTGTGGGGCTGCTATCCCATCACGCGGTGTGATGGCAGAGGAGGGGAGCGCTCCTGCTGCCTGGGGAGCTGCACTTTGGGGGCACAGTGGGCAAGACGGGGCTGCAGAGCAGCTGCTCTTACGCCAAAGCCTTTAACTGTGTGATGGCACCTCTTGCGATTAAACCAGCCACTACCTCTGCTGGGGGGCAGATTTCCAAGCTTGTAGAGGGGTACAGGGAGGGAAACTGAGGCAGGGCAACCCCTAGGAAAGCCTGTTTTCCGTCTCCCTGTCTGACCTCAGTTACCCTCTGAAGAGTGCAAGAAACCCTACCAAAGGATACCCTCAGGGTGTCTCAGTCAGACACCCAGAGCAATCGTGAGCAGGCTGGAGGGCTGATGTTTGGCTTGCCTGACTCCTCCTGCCCCCTCTCTCAGCACAGATTTGGGGACTGGCGAAAGCCTACCCCCCTCCCACCAGGTAGCAGCTCCCATCCCTCCTGTGCTCCAGAGTGTCAGGATTTTGGAGATCGGGCAGAGTTGCTAAGCAACAGTGCCAGGCTGTGCCTGGCTGAAGGCAGGACCGCTAATGCCATGTGACAGCACAGCCTTTTAAAAAAAATAAAAAAAAAGCAGCTATTTGCTGGGAGCAGAGAGCTGAGCCCAGCTCTGAACAGGGCTGCTGGTTTCCAAGCGAGAGCACAGCACCCACCGAAGCCGTGGTCAGTGCCCAGCACAGGCAGGAGGAGGGCTGAGCCGTGCTGCCTGGGCACGCGTCTCCCCGCACACGTCGGGTCTGGTGACTCTGCAAACTAGAGCCACATGAGTCCTTCTGCAAGACGGCAGTCTACATCTGACCTTGGCTAAGCAACTTTCGGCAGGGCTTTTTCTTTTAGCTTGATGCTTATTCTCAAAACCCTCTTGAAGCACAATGTAAGGATACAGAAAGATTTCCCCATCACCAAGGCCAGGGAAGCCTCTGACATCAGTCCATCTTTCAGGGTTGGTTTTTTTTGTTGTTGTTTGTGGAGTTTTTTGTTTTCCTTTTCTTTTGCTTTTTAAACAGAATTCTTTACTGAATTCCTCAGTCCAACAGTTAAATAGCACACGTGGAAAGACAGGAACGCAGGGAAGAACAGCTGGACAAGGTCTCCTCCCTTGCACTGAAATAATCCAATTCTTTTCAACAGCACTTTCCTTCTGGGTAAATCAAAGGACATGCTTAAGTCTTCTACCCGTACAGCTTAAGAATTTCACTTCTGAACTCAAACAGCCAAGATGACCAATTGGCAACAACAGGAGTTTTCACAAAGCACACGCACAACTCGGAATCAACATCGACAGTATACCTTTTTTTGAACTTGGACCTTCGTGGCATTTTGCAACAAGCACTGGATATCAGGAAGTAAAATTTAATGACTATTTTATGCTGTGGTAGCTGAAAACATCCCCATGCCATTTCTAACAACACCTGAATGGTTCTGAGCATCCAGCCAAGAACTGCATTCAAATACCAAACGCATCTGCAGACTCTGATCCAGTGGGGAGGCGCTTTGGTCAATATTATGACAGTAGATTCATTTCCAAGACATGTAATATGCACGGGTTCTATAATTTATTAAATGATCAGGTTATTAGATTTACACATACAGAAAAAAACACATACCAGGGACGGTTGTGTATGATTGTCCCCCGGGTTGTTCCAGCAAGAAAATCCAATTTCTCTTTGTTCTAGCATTAGCAAATTACTCGGGGCAGGGAAACAAAGTGACCACTGCATACCAATAAAGCCATATTCAACTCCAAACACTAAAGCTATTGTTTCACACCAATTTGTGGACCAGTAATAAGCAAGCAAAACCGAAGTTCCTAGAACTGCTGAACAGCACAGCAACTAATTGCCTCCTGTTTAATGGTATTTAATCTCCATGTGCAAGTCAGCTTGTCCTCTTTCACTTTGTGGGTTTGGGTAAGCAGAATTTAAAAAAAGAAAAACATTTAGCTAATCTGATTTGCATATCTTAGCTTAACATAGTGGTCTGATTTAAAATTTAAACGTAGTGGTTTGATTTAAAATTTAATCAAACTTAGCATGTTGAAAAAACAGTGTAAACAAGGCAAACCAAGCTTTAGTACATGCTCAGTTGCAGGGGAAACCTCAGTTCATATAGTTGCACCAGCAGCACCCAGATTTATTTGAGCTATAACAGTCTAGGAATCTATTTTCATGCACTAGATTCTTATATTTTCATTTAAAAACCTCAAAATCAATTAATTTAGCACTGGATTCATAAGAGATGACAATGCTGGGGTATAACCATGACCTTGTGTTTTCATTACGAGTTGTATTTCTGAATATGGTTTTCTCCATGGAACTAGCATAGCCTCTTCCTAAGAGGTAGATGCACGAAACAGCTCTAATGAATTCAAGATGTGCAGCGCATCCTAAGCACACCTTGGCCCCATGATACAACTCCAGAGAGACTCGCTCCTCCATGGCCATACGGCTCCAGCCCTAAAGAACAGTGCCATCTCTCACTGCTGGGAACCTAAGCCTCAAATCCCTCATCCAGAATGAAGCACTCATCTCTCACTGAGTCACTGGGCACTGTGGGAATACCTTCAGGGGTCCAGGATTGGCTTTTTTTGGAAACAAAGATGCTGGAGACAGGGAGCAGAGTGGCAAGCTCTGACCATTTAAGGGTACCTGCTTCTCACCCCACAGCCTGGCACCTTATCCTAGGCTTCAGCTTGCGGTGCTGTGGGCTACCTGCAGCAGCCAAGATTTTCTGGTCGTCTGGTGCCCTGTTATGGGGTGAGCTGCCAGGGATGGGAGCTTTTTCTGCCATCCCCATTGCAAACTATCAAAGCTTGAGTCAATCCTATTTGGCTTGCCTCGTGGGCACAGGATGGATCTTTTACCTACAAAGGCCTAGGAGCACAGACTCACACAGAAGCATCTCCACTGATGGACTGTGTTTATCTCCTTTTTGCTTGAAGGAACAAAAGAAATAACCTGGGGAAAAGCCTGCAGTTTACACAGGAGGTGTTGCAAGGTGACTGTTGCACAGTGACAGCCAGCCAGTCCTGGATGTACGAGAAATGCACAAGTTGCTTTCTTGACAGATAAAATCCTAGCCACCTAAAAATCCCTGTTCCAAGCCCATTTCACTTCGGTTTAAAGAAAAAGAAATTCAAATTTCAGTTTCTCCATTGAAGAAAATCAGCATCCCCTGTTTAGCTGCTCGTAGGGCCTCCTGCATGTCTGCACATAACTTCAGCCCCACTTCTCACACGGTGCAGAAACAGCGCAGATCTGAGTGCCCAGGAAAGCGAAGGCTCTTTGCATCTAGGAGAAGAAAAGCCAGGCACCGAGGGCGCAGGGACTACACTTCTGATCAGCCCTCTGCCCAGCAGCAGCCATGCACCGTTCGGCACACTCTGCTCCATCTGTCCAACGCCTGCTGCAGCCGCGCAGCTTTATTAGAGGCTGGTAGTGCTGCGATTAGGGCACATCAGCTGGGAGCAGAGGTATTTTTAGTTCACAGCTAAATTCGCGTCACTGGGCTGGAATCGGTTAGACCGAAGCATGAATGGTGTGGTGTGTCCCCAAGCCTCAACGGCAACTCGCCACCAAGTGGGTGGGCTCACGCTAGGCATGAATTACTTAGCTGAGCGGATGCGAGAGGAGGGATAACGATTCACACGGCGGCTGCACACCTCTGCAGAGCTGGCAGCACTTAGAAGCTTTTCGTCTGTGTCAAAGGGTTGCAAAAACCCAGCACCTCCTAAGTTTTAGTTAGGAGCGGTTGAAATCTGCAGACTTTGTTCTGTGCAGCTCTGCCACGGCAGCCGTTGCATACCTTATTTTACGCAGCGATATGAGAGCTGCACGTGGTGGTATTTCATCGGTGAACAATAGAACTGCCAACAGCCAAAGTCGAGAGCTTTATTCTGGTTAGGCATCTCCTACAAGAGAGTCTTTTGAACACGAACCAGTCTTTCCTCCACAAGGATCAAGTTCCTAAAGATTTTATACCCAGAGTTGCTATTCTTGGAAGAAAGGAGGTGTCTTAAAACAAGGCTATTTTCACTGGATTTAAATGATCAAGACCGTGAATCTTGAAAGATTATCACCCTACTGCAGCACATGGCCAGACGTGCACCCTTGCTCTGGTATAAACTAGTAGCAAGATGGATTCAGCTATCACATCAGACCTCACTCAGTTTACTTCTCTGCCCTGGTGTGCACCACACTGTGAGAAGTCTCTATCCCTGAGAATGCTGGAAGCCCAGCCCTCCATGGGGCCTGGGGCCCGGCTGATCCTTGTACAGACAGGTTTGATGCTCTTAGGATGGTCTGTACTAGAGGAGGTTACTGCTTAGATGAAATCAAGGTGAGCAGCAGACTGAGTCAGGGTTGCATTAGTAGTTAAAATACAAGGGACTAAGAGAAGCACACAAGATTTCCCTAGTTTTCCCTCCTGCAAGCTATTGGCCTGCTCCTTGCTGAAGCCCAGGTGGTCAAGGAAGGAAACGGCGAGTGTAGTTGCGAGGGAGGAGGTGTCGGCAGTGGAAATACAAAAACAGAAGCTTCAGTGGATGGAAGTGTTTGAAATCTGTTTATGAGACATGACCCACTTTCTCCCGTACATAAGCCAAAGAGGCTGGCAGATCCTGCACACCCCCGAGCATCCCAAGTGACAGATCGTGCTCGAGAGAGGCACTGAGTCCAGGGCTCTTGCTAAAGCGCCGAGAGAAGCCTCTTCTCATCTGAGCCCCGGCAATGGCTGCGGATACCACTGCAGAGAAACCGCCCGGCGTTCCCGTGCTCTCCCTACAAACTAGTAACATGTTCTCCACTGAGTATCACCAATTCAGACAGGCCTGGGCAAGCAGCCTGGTCCAGGATGGCAAACCCTTCCTGAACGGGGAGCATTGCCTCTCGCTCCACATTTTCTAACATTTTTCTTCCGGAGGAAGTAGGGGGCACAGGCCAGTCTGCAGGATCGCCAGTGCTCATCTTCCCAGCCACGCACACCCCTTCTCTCCCTCCCAACTACATCCTCTGCTAGCCAGCACCGCAACACCCCAGCACCAAAAGTGAGAAGCTACCAATGTTTCTGATTTGAGATACAAAGAGCCCTGGATGGCGCGGTTAGGGCACGGCCGGGGCAGAAGGCATTACCGGCAGCAGCACTGCAGTGCAGGGGGAGAGGCTATGCCAAGCTCAGTCAGGAGCAGAGGGAGGACTGGGGGAGGTGCAGAGGTTGTTCTCATTTGAAACCCCACAATGAAATCAAGTCATAAGGTCCAACAGCTGCTATTTTTTCCCCTCCTGCATGCTCCATCTTTTATATTCCAAAATAGTAATAATTATGAGTACAAAGAGACCCATGGTTTCTGTCTGCAATTGAAGCAAGAGGGTGTTCATTGTGTAAGAGCAGACACGAGAGAATAAAAAGGTTACAGGGTTTGTAATCAATAGGGACACTTTCTTCCTCTATGAAACATAGCAGCTTTCGGTAGAATCACTTGGCTCCTGTCCAGAGCCTCCTGAACAGGAGCAAAGCTGCTATGCTGGCCCCATTCCACTCTTTTTTTTTTTTTTTACACTCCCTCATCCTTCAGCAGTAGTAAGGTCATACGTACAAGTAGGATGCTCACAGAGCTGGCCGAACATGGAGCTGAATGGGACAGAGTACGATCAAAATGCATCAATATAGCAGCTAACAACAGCAGACCAAAACTCTTCTCACATGGCCTGTCTTCCATAGATGTCAAAACATTTTATAGTGGTATGTAGGGTTACTCTTTCACAACAGATAGAAAAAAGCAGATCCTGAAAGGTGAAGTGACTGGCCCAGGATTACGCAGTAGGTTAAAGTCAGGGCTGGAAAACCTTGCCTGAAACACACAGTAGCGGGACGGGATTGCTGAACAGCCCCAACACCGTGTTCAGCTCTATTTAAAAGAGCAGCTTTGCAGAGAAGCAAAGCAGAAAAGAGAAAACAAGAATACAAGGTCCAGAATGAAAGGAAGAAACAGATAGGTAAAATCTAAGATCTGGGATTTTAAAATGTGCTTTTATGGGGACCCAGCTAAAGTTTTTGGCTGAAACAAGCCCTAGGATCCAAGGCTGTTCTGTTCATAAGTGTAATACCCATCTATCCGTTAGCCATAGACAATGCTATTAATAAGGTGATGTCTAGTGACCATACATCAGAAGTGCTCTCAGAGTGGTAGAATTAAGCTACTCACCAGCATTCAGGTGACAGTCTTTAATCTGGAACTGAAGCTCATTTTCATTTGGAATATCCTTCCATGTTGCAAGGAAGACCTGGCGCTCTAGAAACAAGAAAGACAATCAGCACTCCTGGATCCTCACAGGACCGTAGCATTAATTAATTCACCACAGAATGTTACAAGTAGACACACAAAAGATCTTTTGGTCACATTTTGCCCTGCCGTGGACAGATCCAGGATTTGCTCCTGTAACAACCTCAGTCTCACTGTAACAGCAGCAAAGCTTTGACAGATTTTGGAACCCCCAAACCAGAAACAGTCTTTACCATATGCGCTGTTTACAAACCAAGAACAGGCGGGAGTTGACAAGAAGGAAGGAGATCCACACATTTAGGATTACATTAGTGAAAACTGTTTTTCAAGCAACTTCCCAGTCAATTCAAACAACAATTTAATAAAGGTGACCAGGAATACACAAATTACAGTGAAAGTGGTAAGGGGCCAAATCCTAGATCCATTTGAGTGACCCAAACCCTCCAAAAAAAAAAAACCCCAAACCCAAAAATCAGCTTCAAAAGAAAACACATCCACCCCTTGTCTGGCAGAGAGAATTGGAGCAGAAGACTTGGGTTCTGGTAACTATTGGAGTTGCAGGACAACAGGGACAGGCTACCAAACCACTACAGATCAATTCAGGCTGCTGAGATGCACTGGCATGAAGATCGTGGCCAAGCCCATGTGAATCTCAGCCATGGGACAACTGCAGCCAGCTGGGCGCTGCGAGCACAGTCTGGCTGAGGGAGGCTGACCACAGACCTAAAAGCACTCACCCATTTTGCCATCCTCTACGAAAAGCACGTTGAGAGGAATTAGGCAGCTGAAGTAAAAGACATCAATGTTGTTTTTCACAGCCACCTGTTACAGAAGAAACAGGGGTGGTTAAAGTTTCTCTATCAGCTGGAAGTCCAAAGGGATCCCAAGACTTTGCGCAGTCTCATCGCCTGCCCGCGCACCCTGGAGTGCTCTCTCGGAGCAGAGGCCAGCTCTGAACATGAGACTACCTGGAGAGATCTTGCCGAGCTTCTAGGTAGTTTCAGGCAAGGATCAGTCCCACCCCACTATGCTCACTCCATTTTCACTAAAAGCTGCTCAATCTCCTCCTATGAGGATTTCACCATGCTGCTTCAGAGCCAATTGCACTGATGGGGTCACCGCCAGCATCCTTGCTCTTTTCTGCTCTCATTCAGTCTCTCCCTCCCCCCACTTCTTCCACCTCCGATGTACATTCATCTCTTGGCTGCACACAGCTACTATCGTGTCTGTCATACTGCACACGGGCTTCTTCATCACCCCTCTTTGCCATCTCACTCTTGTAATTTCCCAGCTCTAAACCCCTGCGTATTCTTTATTTTCACCCCCAGCTCTCCAGTCATGTCTGAACATGCAGACTCCTTGATTAGTCATATCTCAGCCCTGACACTTTCTAGAAAGCCTGAAACTGGTCCACTGCCTGCACCTTCCTTGCAGCATCTCCCAAGTCTCCTTCCTTTACCTTTGTGAAAGCTATATAGCAAATGTGTGCCGGGTGTTGATTCCTGGAAGAAGAAAGCCCTGCTACAGAGCAATCAGGGCAGGTAAAAAAAGATCACTTGACAAAAGACTTAATTCTCAGTGTCATTAAATTCTGCCAGCCAGGGAGATGCACTGCATTGTCTTTTATCACACACGCTTGCCACATTACCGACTAATCTCTGCTAACACAGCCAGCAACCTCACTTTCAGTTTTCCCCAGGCTGAGAGCTGACAGTACAGCAGGAGCAAACTGGAGGTCTGAGAAAGAGCACTGTCATAATATAGCACAGAGAAAGGTAGCTCTGGGCTTTATTTCTATACCTCTCACGCTCTCCTCACATCATCCCGCATTGCGATAGCCTGTCATGGGAGTACGGTTCAGCGGCCGCCATCGCTTGCAACGATGGAAACTTAGCCTGTAAGAGAGACCTAGAATTGAGGTCGTGTGGGGAGCCCTGAATTTCACGAGCCGTTTGAGCCCCTACTTCCTTTGAAAAATCCCAGAAGGAGTTCTCCAATTTGTCACCCAGCTGAAACACAAACCAGGCCGTGCTAAATGCTGAGCCAAAGAAATAAATTTGCTGCTACAAAGATCTATGCCAAGACAAACTCCATGCACATTAATAATTACATACATTAGTGTTCTGCTGACAAAATCTATTGTCCCATAGCGGCAGGTTTAGAAAGACACCCCCAAATGTTGGTAAAAACAGCTGCAGATAGACAAGGGAGGGGAATAAACCAGAGAATTCAAACACAAGTCAGCTGATTAGACATGCATGCAAGCCAGAGGACAAGTGGTAGGAGATCAAGCTCCCAAATGAACTCTTCTAGCAACTGGGAAGGTCCCAGAAGTGCAAAGAACAGCAGAAAGGTAGATGTGACAGCCTGTGGGGTTTCTGCTTTCAGCCATCACTAAAGGTAGCAGCTTATATTTAATTCCCACAGTGCAAACCAGCTTAAGAAGAGATTAGTTTAAAGCTCACTAAAACCTTGTAAATGATGGTACAACCTAGAAAAAGAAAAAAGGAAATGGCCCTCTGTAATAGGGAGCTGTTACATGCTTCGATTGCTGGCGTCATGCTTGCGAGCTGGAGCGTCTAGTGTTTGAGGTAGAGGCACCGAAGCCAGAAGGGCAAAAGCAGATTGGTGGATGAACTTAAGTGATTCACCTCTGCAAAATGTGATTGAACAGACTGGGTGAGTAGCCAAAAACGCACCTCTGAATCTGGGAGGGGAGAGCTGGGGAAGGGACAGCAGCGTAGCCATTCCAGATGCTATGTTTGGATAGAACAGTCATGGAGATGAGCCGAAAGAGGGAAAATATAGGTTAAATGTCTGGGAAAATTTGATAGTGAGAATTACTAAGCAGCACAAAATTCTCCTGAGGATGAGAGAAGCTCCAGTGCTTGGAGTATTTAAAATCAGCCTTGACAATGCTCTCAATAAGAGGAACTGTAGCAAAACAACAAAGCATAGCAGGGACTACACTGTGTGACCAAAGATCTTTTCAAACTCCGATTTAATAATTGCCTTGCTTTAGAACAACAGAGATTACTTAGCTTTTGTAGCTAATTTTTGTTGCCATACAACAGCAGTTTCTCACAAGAAGGGCTGGAAAGCAGTGCCTTCTCTCCAGTCACGGTTTAGAGGCACACTCCAAATTAATATGCTAACCCTGTCCCTGCAGTTATAAGAAAGCTATAAAAAGGTATCTGCTGACCTGCTTCTCAACTCTGCAGAAACATACTGAGTAAGCTGCTTTGGCTGTACTCTGGAGAGCTACCCAATTAAGATGCTCTGAAGTGCAACTTCTTCCCAGCAAAGAAAAGCAAGGCACATGCCAGCCTTCCTCCCAAACTGCATCACTGGGTTCAGTAATGACATCACGTGTCACCTTGCAAGTATCTGTAATGATGCAGAAACCAGCTGTTACAAATAACTTTTCCAAACAGGAAAGGAAAAAGCTACAGTCTCCTTAAATCTATAGCACTAGGACAAGACTGGTAAGCTTTTTGAGACTAGCTTTCATCATTCAACACCACATACTTCCCCCAAACTGCCAGGTGTGCACTGTTAGCGCTGCGGTCCCCAAGATCTGGTCCATGAAAAGGCACCTGCAGATACCTGGATGGGGAAACTCACACCAAGAAGAGGCTAAGAGGCCCTACCAGTTGACAACAGCTTTCCAAGGTCATGCTTCAACCTTTGCACTGCCACATCAAGAGCATCCAATGCCATCTGACAGGCTACAAAAGCAACCGCAGGCAGAAAGCGGATCCATGGCAGCGCCTGTGAGAAACTGAGTAGCTAATAACAGCGACTTGCCAAAAAAATCCAGTGCTCCTCAGGTGGGAACATCAGCCTGAGACAATCAATGACATCTAAAATGATACCAGTAGCTGAGAAGTCTCTCTGGGTTTGACATGCTTGAAAGGCACCTCCACTTGCATTCAGTAAATCCTCCAGTACAGACTAACTTTGCCTGTGGCTCTGCAGCTTTAACCTGCTGACCTGGACATGAACTATTAAATCTTTAAGATGACCTTCAGCTTCAGACATTTGAGAGTTGAAACAGAAGCATTTTAAGTAAAAATGGCTTTCCATCTTCAATCTTTTTGAAAGGAGGAAAAAAAAAAAATATTACTACCTTGTGAATTTAGTCAGGCAGACTACAAAGCTTCTGAGAGATAAAAGTCAAAAGGTGCCAGATTTTCATGTGATGCTTCACTGCTAAAAAGGTGTGAGCCCACTAAAAATTGGCACAGGGTTCCCAATCACTTACCTCTTGTTCATGATCTGACTAGAGGAAGCAGCACCTCTAGAAATAACCCCTGGAATGTATTTGCTCACCTTGCAGCATGAGCACCCCTCTGACACCCTTTCTTGCAGTGCAACCCTCTGATAGCCAACACGTGGTATTTTGGGCAAGAGATAACCTCATAAGAACAATGCTAACTTATTTTCTTCAATAGTGTAGGTTTCTGATGCCTTAAATTCCAGACTTGAGCATAAGAACTGACTTTCAAAGTCAAGACTGAAAGCAACACAGATGCTTTCCATCAGCAGCACATACACAACATACCCACTTGGAATCCCATTAGCACCTACACTAAATTAAGGATTTACTTCAAGTTGGGTTTTGCTTTAGAGCCTGGTAACAGCCAAACTGTTAAGGCGAGAAGAACTCTCCTCTGCAGAGTCATTTTACCTCTGCCAGCCCAAGGTCATGGTTTATTCTGTGACAGTCTGTTGCTCTGGCTGTCAGATGCCCTCAGGGTGTGCTAGCTACTTCACTTCATTTTGTTTGACAGGTACGGTTCTCGGGATCCTATGGGTGCTTGGCAGCCACTGCCAGCCAGATGCTCTACCTACAGGCACAAGTCTCGAGCCCGGGCAGCAGAGCTGTGTGCAGACAGCGAGGCTGGGTGCTGTGCCCCTGGCTGCGGCTGTCATCTCCAGGCACGCCGCATACATCAATGGTCAGGGAACAGCGAGTTACCGGGAGGGTTAGGCTCTCACGTGTGCCTGGCTGTACTTGAAATTCAAAACGTACATTTTATCAAATGTGCTATGCCATGTGGCAGAGCTGCCCTTAAATCAGCAAGCCAACAGCTTTCCACAGCTGAGCTAGGAACTGGCCGCAGACGCCAAGCTGTGATCTGAGTCCTTAATTCAGGGAGTTTCCAGGAGGGTTCTCTTTGCTAGAATAAGACCCTCACTAATACAGGCTGTTAAAAAAAATAACCTAGGCAACAAACCCAAGAAACCACCTTCCACATCTAGCCACTCAAGGCTGTTCTGTGGTGGTTGGTTCAGTAATTTTGAAACAGCTCACACACAGGCAGATATTGTGCCATTTATCAAGCAGGCTCTGAAGGGAGAACACCTGCTGGCTGGACTTGCTGCTCACGCTGGTTCTCAGCCTTGTTTTTATGGAGAGTTGAATGTGTGAAATCTGTTTCCAAGTACCAAGAGCTCTGCATTTGTGACCTGAGATACATTAACGCTTCTGATGAATGAGCGCTCCAGCGGTTCTGTATTGCAAGCGAGACACTGAAGAGTGGAGGAGCACAGGTGATGAGTTACAGCAGAACTGAGCGTGGAAGGGTAAGTATGATCTAGTGCATTAGCAAGACCGATCTTTTCTCAGTGAAGAAGCTGACCTTCATCTGCCTTTATAGAAATGTTTTGCCAAGCTCATTGGAAGAAACAAAAATGTTCTGCACCTCACAGTGCTTAGCAGCAAGGGAGAGGTCTGTGTTTCCCAATGTCACTTTTCAGGAAGAAATGCAGCTGGCAGAACCTTCCCTTTCAATGCTCACCAGATCACTTTATGGGCATTTTGGAAAACTGAAGCTATGCTTCTTTCAATTGCATGCTCAGTAGCTGCAACAAACAGCCCTGGCAGTTGACAGCAAGTAACGCTGGGGAATGCAACACACTGTCAATTTTGAATGTGGATCCCAAGAGAATGGCAATGCTCCAGACTCGGGCAGACTTGCTACTGCTCTGGGAGTCCCTGCAGCTTGTTTTCAATTGTATTGTCTCCTGCAAGTGGTTACCAACTCACAGAAGAGATTATCGTATTCATGCCATGACAGGCCAGGCCTGAGCTCCAAAACTCTCACAGCAGGCTGGCTCCACTTCACCTATTTCCAGGGTTAGGGGAGCAATTCTCATGTATCCAAACAAAAAAAAAATCAAGTATTTCACAGCCCTTGAAAGGCTATTTATTAGGAACAGTGGTTCTCTTTAGCATAGAAAGGGTCTCATCCCAGGCATTTTCTTATTCCAAATTTGACTGGCAGCCAAAGAAGTATCTGGAAAGAAGATTCCTTCACCAATGCAAATCCTTATTTCAGAACCTATTATCCTCTTTGAGAGCTCTAGGTCTCACACATGGTAGCAAAGACACCCCATCCGCTCAAGCTCTTCTAGCAGGTACGACCCTGACAGCCTACATGTCATCAGAGGGGTTTCACTGCTTTGACTGTGAAAAGGCAACTACAGGACCCAAGCAAACCTGTATAACTACCAGAGCCATCTCCCTGGCTGGCAAACGAGCCACGGCTGTCAAATACTTGTGAAGCTCAACGCAGCCTCTTGCGCACCTTTAGGCAAGAGCTTGTTACCGCTTACGAGTGCCGTGCTCTGCAGAGGCAGCTCTGCACAGGGGAACCACAGCACCCACAAGCGCCAGGTAGCCTCCCAAAGGCTGACAAGGCACTGCAAGAGTGTCCCCCAGCAGAAGGGGGGACAGCACACAAATACCTAAGTCAGATTTGCTTTAGCAACAGGTACACTCCAAAGACATCCTGACAGCAGCTTTTTAATCTTTAAGAAATAAAAAAGATGAACCAGAGAGCAGGGACTGGAGTCTGTTCAGCCCTGCAGTGCTGTGCCCAGTCTAACTTTGGCTTTATCTTTTGAATAAATCACTGCTTGACTGGGGGCCGAATCTGAGTCAACAGGTCAAGAAAATTATCATCACTACTTTGGGATGGGAGGGAGAAGCCTGCTATTCATTATCACAAGATGCAAGGCGACTGGCAAACAGAAGACACTTCAGTTGGGAACCATAGTTATATTTTACCTAAGTAAGTCCCTGAAAATATTTCAGTCTTCCTCATCTTCTTGTAAAAATGGCTTTTTTGTCAACTTGTCAAATATTTTAGTTTCTTTTCATGATTACAAATGTTAAGATTAAACCAGCTGTATTGGGTGAAAGATTAGAAACAGTAATAAAAATAACCTGAACAAGACTTGAATTCATTACTTCTGAAATACTTGCCTAAGGAATGTACAACTAGTCTTTGAAGTTTCCAATTAACATGACAAAAAGTTGAAAGCTATCAGTTTGGTTACTTCAGGACTTATTTTTTGTGTTACTAAAACAAAAACCCCCCACCAGAATAGGAGATGAATGTAAGATCCCCAGGTTCAAACCAGCCCTCCATCTACTTCAATATTCCTCAGCTCAGCAAAACCGCATTACGCAAATTCAACTTGATGAGTGTTTTGGTTCTTCAATGAATACAGGAACATTTGTATTCTCTACTCCTATATTACGCTATAAATTGTTCCCTAAGTAGGTCACCAAAACGATTTCTGAATGTTTCAAGACAGATAATTTCTACATGAACTCACAAAACAAAACCAGAGCCTTGGCTTTCAGGGCAATGACAGATCTCCATCAAACCCACTGCTGTCAAAAAAGTAAGGGGAGTGCTCTTTTTAACTTGGCATCTGCTATCATGATTCAACTCTTTGCAGAGAAATATACTATTACTCCATATGGCAGCTTCCCCAATTGTAAAAGGGCAGCCAACTTCTATGGCAATGAGAGAGCTAGCAAATTAGCAACTAAGTCTGGCACTAATGAATGCTCCGCTGTCTCAATATAAGGTAGCTGGAGGTTTCCTCACATGTTTTCTCTTTGCTTTGTTCTAGCAGAAGATGCTGCAAGAAACAAACTATGTTCCGATTCCTTTAGAGATTTAATAACCCAAATACTTCACCTCCTGCCCGATCAAAGGAAGCAGCATCTTGAGCATGCCTTGTTGAGAGAATCCCCAGTGTTATGGAGGCAGAGCAGGACTGTCACCTCCTAGAGACTTCCAAATTTGCTTCAGAGCAGGAGGTACATTTTACCACAACTGACCCAAATGCAGTGATGCAACCACATACTCGTGACCTGGACGCAGAGGGAATCCAGCTTTTCCACAAGCTGGAAGGGCCCTCTGTGGAAGACAAGCACATGTAATTCATTCACTGTCCACATGCTTTCCCCATCGCATGACTGAGCTCAGAGTCGGAGTGTAGGACTGCTCGTTTGAGCGCCAGAGAAGCTATTTCAAGCTGTTTGCCCAAAGACTCATCAATAAGTCATAAGCCCCAGAATGGAAGTCAAAAGAAGGGAAAAACAGTTGCTCAGGCAGAATAAATAGTAACTTCCATTGCATTCTCTTAATCTAAAAAGAGAATGAGCTGCTTCAAAATATTCCCCTCTAAGGGCTGCTACGCTACAGGAACGCAACCTAGTTCCATCTCCTGGAGACTTGAGGCGAGTGAGATATGCTACAGTTCAAGTTAACCACACTTTTGGGATACTGGGAAAATCATCCTGAAGGACCCAGCTACACAGAGCAGAGAGGAGTCACTCGCTCAGCTGCACTCCACAGAGTGGCTGCACATGGCAGCAATAGGTAGGAGCCTCCTTCCAGGGAGAACTGTCTGCCTCATGAGCTCTTCAAGACCAATGCCCCTGAGGCATGCCAGGACTGATGGAGACAGTCTCTGGTCCAAACCACAGGGGAACATCTCCCTGGATCCATCATGCCTTTATCAGATTGGCAGCCCAATCTGATAAAAAGCCTCTTCTAGGGAATGCTGTTCCTGACATGCACCAACAGCCTCGTTATTAAAAACATTGGCTGCTTACGTCACTTCTCCCCTGCCTTTCCTGGAACGCTTCTTGTTCGAATAGGATTAAGCTATCTGGGGCAGGGATGCCTTTGTAAAGCACCCTGGAAGTTAAGAGCACTAGACAAGTATTAATCACTCAGCAGTTGCCATCTTTCCTGCAATTCCTTTAATTGCCTCAATTCTGGCTGACAGTTCACACTGCCTGCTCCACCACAGGCATGCACTTTCTCTGTTCACACCAGCTCCAGTTCATAAGCCCAACCAAACCTCGAGCCCAGTTTACAGAAGAGTATTACTGGAGCAAAGGCCTTAATCTACACAGATGCAAGCAGTGGGTTTGAGGTGTTTGAAAAGGCAAACTCACAAAATTCAAGAGGTGGCTGCTTCAGTCCTCCTGGAAGAGACTAGGAAAAGGAATAGGAAGTTTTGGCCAGACTCATGGCCCACATCCATGAGGTCTGCCTGCTTACCCTACACACATGGTGTTTTGTTACTAGAGTCTTAGCACATTGTGTTGAGCCAAACAAACTGGGTTGAGCACCTGCTGATCTCCCCGCTGCCCAAGACAATCCTTACCTGGAGGTTGTTCAGAGGCTCCATTTTCATGACTGGTCCCAGAGTGTTGAGGGGCAGGGAGACATCAATGCTTTGGTTTGGCATCAGAGGTGTGTGAATGGCCAACGGGGTGCTTGGAATGACCCCGAAGCTGGGCAAGAGAAAAACAGAGGTGATGAGAGCAGCACTGCATGGCCCAACACCTACTCCCCTTTTGCCAAGCACAAGCTGGCTCATTACTCCTGAGCTGCCCCTGCTTTTGCTCCAGAGAAGGAACACAGCTCTCACTGTGCACTACAGCAGACACTCAAAGTAGGACAAGTCACAGGAAACTCAATCAGGTCGGTCTCACTGACAACATGCACCATCCTACCCAGGAGACCCGCGTCTGGAAACTCCTCCATTACCCACACGGCACTGGCCTATGTGCTGAGCAGCAGCCTGCCCAGCAAGGAGCGGCACTGGGACTCAGACTCAGGCCTGTGGGCTCTCTGTTAGAGCTGCAGAGCACTAGAAGTAGAGTATATCACACGCTGCATGGCTGTTATATCATTGGGAGCTATGGAAGAAGGAACTGGAGCCAACACAGAACAAATGCATAGCCAAGGAGGAGTACGTGGTTTGTAACAGAGCACTGTAGAACAAATGAATCAACGCAGCCAGCTGTCTGGTCCCGAATGACAGCGTCTGGCTCTGTCGCTTGGTTTGAGGCTCCTTCAGCTGGGGACGCATACCACCATAGCAAAGCGAATGTTTACTTGCCCCTTCAGTCCAAGAGGCATTTAATTCCACAGGCACCTCTAGTTAGTGTGGAGAAGAGGAAAATCAGCTAACATAACACTTCTGTACTATGTACCGGCTTCTTTCCAAAAACAGATGGAAACTCAGATGCATAAGAGTTTTGGTGTCCACTTGTGACTGCATTTCTCTTTAGCGCAACTCACATCAGCTCAGAGGTGATAGAGCATTTACAGGAACAAAGACGTATAGGTGAGTATTTTTATTTTATACACTAAACTGATACAGAGTCTCTGCACAGAGTCAGCTGCATGTGTCTTGGGTACGTCACTCTTTCAGAAACCAGCAGAAGCCCCATTCTCTGCTCTCCATAGTTTTCAGCTCTAGGGAGCTGAAATAAGAATATTCTCAGTGAGGGCCTAGCCATGTGATTGGCCTTCTGCAGCCATTTCACCTTGGGGAACATAAACCCTAGTGTTTTCCCTTAGACTCAGAGGGAGAAGAACGTTGCATTTTGCTACTAAGTGGCTGTGGTATTACAGCACACTAGAGCTCTAGCTTTCTTTTATTTTTTTTTTTTTTTAATGCTTTATCCCAAGACTGCAGTGAATGTGATTAGCAGCAGCAGGAGAGGGGGAAAAAGCAATAGAAACTTCCCAAGCACAAACCTTAATACTTAAACCTAAAGAGCCAGCCCACTGCAGCTCTTTCCAATGCACCAGCCACAGTGGAAAGCGGTGACAGGAGAACAGTATTTGTAGAAGAGTAAATAGTAGTAGATTGTATACGGAGCGTGTGCTGATATGCTGCAAAAGGAGAAACTGCTGTTTTACTGTACAGTATTTAAACTTCTTACATCCTTAAGTACCACCATGTAGGTGTGGCTAGAACACAGCTTGATGTATGGGGAAAAAATCACAAGAAAAACAGCTTTTTTTCAGGCCATTTTGCATGAAACATTTGCATATAGCAGCTTAGCAAAAGTCTCCAGAAAATATAGCAGTCCAAGGAGAACATTTACTAAGACTTACTTAGCATAATGTCTTTTGTAAGTAAATATTATTCATCCCAAGAAATCTCAAATTTGCAAGACTAACAGTGATATTAAAGATATGGTTTCAGTGGATCTTTAGTATAGAGAACCCTTTCCCAGGGAAGGAATACTAAGAAATACGGGCAACATTTCAGTCACAAGATACCCTTTACAGTCTTGATAAGAACTAGCCTGGTCCTGGCTCAAGATAACATAGCAAACCACACAATAAGCTCTCTGGCTAAGAAGGGTATTTGTGGGAAGACACCGTGGCTGCATTGCCATGTCATGTCTTTTGGCTGAGATGCATTTCTGAGAACAATCTGTATGCTCTAAACATTCAAGTGGCTGCTCCTTCTGACAAAATTGTTCTGCTGCCAATTACAGGGAAAACATGTGCCATAGGCTCTTACCTTGCAATTTCTTCATTGACAAATAGCTTTATTAATGAGACCTGTACTTCCAGACAGTCTGAGGGGCAGCACAGCGATTAAGTCAGGAGGTAGAGGCACTACAGATTGCTACTCGTGCAGCTCAAATGCTTGCCTGTTTATGCTGTTGCTTTCCTCAAGGCACTTACTGGCTATAAAACCACTAACCTGCCTAACAACTCATGAAGCTGCTTTTTTTTTAATCTCTGCAGAGATTAAATGGGGCAGATGCTGTTCAGAGCTAGGAGAACGACAGGACCGTCTGCTGCCTGTTTCCTCACAGACTTAGACTGTATTTTAAGCCCTTTCACACAACTGTGGTGTGATGGAGAGTTCAGGCTGTATCATCCAGCTGTTTCCATGACTGCATAATATATATACCTACACAAAATATATACCTACATAAAAGTCCTCCTTATATCTGGCAGTGTAGACACAGATCCCTTTCATAGGAGCACGCAATCTTTTTAACGTAGCAGACAAAGTGTATTGATTTCTTACCTGTTCTTATTGAACTGAATGGCAAAGTCGGTCATGTGCTGCAAAGCCTTATTGGTAAAGTTCATCTCCATGTAGATGTGTCCCTGCCTGTGACTGAACGTACCCGAGATCTCCAATCCTTTAGCCTTCACTGCAGGCAACCAAACCTTGAACACAAGAGATGTCATTCAGCATGAGAAATCTGGCCTGAAGATAACAGACAAGCACAGTTTTCCAAACAACAGAAAAGTCCTGAGTTCGGAAATCCAGCTACATTGGCACGTTAAGCCCACAAATGCTAAAGAAACACTACAGGGAAGATAAGACATGGGGTGTTGAAAGGATCAAGCTCACCAATGAGAAATAAACTTGCTGCTCCTAATCCATATTTGTTCACAGCACTCAAATAAGAATTCAAATATACTATAACATCACTGTGCACAAGAAACAGTGAAAGCTTGTGTCCATCACACTAATGCGAGACTTACCAAGTCTGCTGATGGACAGGCTTCTCCGAGGATCTGTTGGGCTATTAGAGGCAGGACAATACTAAAGTTTGAACCAAATAAAAATCACAGGGCTGATACTATTAGTTGTTCGGGTTCTGGATTCCCAAGTCATCTTTGTGGGGAAAATCCCAGACTCAAATTTGAGGGGTGCAAAATGAAGTACTTAACTCAAAATTACTAGGTTCTTTCGTATTTGGTCTTATATATGGTGTAATACTTGCAAGCAGCTAAGGACCAAAAAAAAAAAAAGCTTTGAGTATGCTCTGCAGTACCTTGAGATCCTAGATTTCATAGGATGACTTTAGTTTATTCATCCATTGACCATTTAATAAGAGTGCTAATTTTTGTTTATTGCCTTTCAGGCGTGAAAGGCCAACCCTGAGCTCCCTGTGGCTCTTACCAGAACCATGCTCTGCATCTCACGAACCCTTCAGACTAAGCATGCTTCAGTCAGTGCATCTGTGATCTCTGTCACCAACAGATCATTTATCCGCATTACACTGCGGCATGCTCATCCCAATCATGTCATTTTATCTTCACTGTCACGTTGGATTCCTCCAAATAAATGAATCTTCTATGAAAGTTGTAGCAAATTGTATCCTGCTCTCAGTTTCCTGGGGAAACTTGCTAAGAAGTAGGTCTCCAGGAAAGCTGCTCTGACAAAATTGAAATTCTCGTATCTTATATAAGCCATTATTTAGAGTAATATTGTTACAGGCAAAATGAGGGAACTGCTAAAAAACCAGAAGTCTGTAACTGGCAACTAACATGGTCTCCAATACACTGTTATTCTGCCTGGGAGAAACCCAGGGCATCCCTAATGGGACTGAGTTGAACTAAGGTGCCCCGACAGCACCAGAGACCAACAATAAAGGGGACAAGCACGCAATCTCAGACTAAGGTAAGGCAACATACTGAGGATGTTCTTTTTCCTTACGTACAGACTTCGGAGCCACATATCCTCCAGGAGCCATGCCTATACCAGATGAGAGCTCAAAGAGATCGTTGAGTCCACTGCTCACCACTGCTGGGGTGGGTGAAGGGGCAAAGGTGGCTGGCACAGAAGAGGGAATGTAGGTCTGCCCCACCTGGAGGAGTTAGAAAGAACAGGCACTGATTAACATCACATATGAAGAACACTACTTATTAAATAAAGCACGAACTCGGGCAATATCCTAAATATTTTAAAGCCGTTTGCAGCTTCCCCACTGAATTATCAATAGTGCTAAATAACGCATTTGAATTCCAAAGCTCTTGGCAACTAATCCCTACACTCGGCTGTCACCTCAACCATGCAATAGCTTTCACATCATTTTTTATAGCTCCTGTTACCTATTCCCACTGTAGAGGAATCTTTCTTCTTCATCTCTCCTTCTCATAAAGACAATATGCTTTGTGGATCTACCCTACATAAACCCAGGGAAAAGAAAAAATGCTTCAAATCTTCCCCCAACTACGGCAGTCTTCAGGAATCTGCAAGATTTTGCATACCCAGAGATAGCAAGGGAGTCATGACCATATCGTGTACTCCCACCCAAAGCCAGAGCTCTGCATTCTTAGCACTATGGTCCAAAAAGTTCATTACATGAAGCAGAACTAGTTGTCTCTGCCTGCCAGAGGACAACCTTTCTGCAAGAAGGGCAATCCTTCCCTCTCAGGACTTAAAATGAGGGCACCAAACCTGGAATATTAACCTTCAGGTGCTCAAGGTGGGACAGTCACACTCAAGTTAGGCTCCCAAGTTCTCTTTTTTACTGCAAGCAGGAAGAATTATGTGCCTGAGAATAGGATTCACCACAGTCAGCAGCCCAGAAACAGGCAGAATGACTAAGGCAGGCAATAGGAAATACTAGTGACTGGTCCAGGTCTGAAGTCTCACTGCTGTTCTGTGTTCAGGAACCCACCTGAGATGTGGTGTTTCAATCAACCCTTCAGACAGGGAGGAATGGTCATTTTACAGAACTGCTTGGTGGGTTTATGCTGGCCCAGGAAGGCAGAGACCTGGCTTTGTAGGTGTGATCTCTACAGAGTAAGTATCTCCCATATCCTGGTGTGTACTGCCTGGGGGCTACAGATATACTGTACCACCGGCTCTCCTCTGCCCTCATGCTGAAATTAGAAAGGAATGCAAGATTCACAGGGGAAGAAGGAGAGAGAATGACTGCAGCCATAACAAGGGTCTCCAAAAAGCCCTCACTCCAGAGCTGAGTATGCTTTCCTCACTGAATTACTGGCTACACAGTCCTGGGGAGAGGGACTGGAGCTTTCTCCAGGAGATTGCTTTTGGGTGTGGGTTGGAGGCGCACTCCCTCCTGCTCACTGCATCTCCAAGTCATCTTGCATTCTTTTCCTGTGCTTTCCTGGAAGAAGCTGGCATGCATTTGAAGCCAAGGGTGCTTTGGAAGCAGCCTGAAAGTCTCCCATGTCCTGGCAAGCGCTCTAGGCACTAGGACACTCACAAAGCACAGGCACAGAGGAGGCGGCCAGTGGCAGGCAGAGTTCAGCACTGACCACGCGTAGTAGGAAAGCTCAGAGCACCTGATCCTGATCTCCAGGAAAAATCTTACGTGGCATTTGGGAGGAGGAAAGCACTGAGTTCAGACAAGCCCGTGGTGATACTGGGTTAGGGTTACAACAGAACAGGCTTTGTGAGTAGAGAGGTAAGCATCCTTGGCCTTTCAGCTGCCAAAGCAGTTGCACAAGGACTGGGGTACTGCCAGTGTTAACGCTGGTGCTCAAACAAAAAGCTCTGAGAAAGAAGAGCTAGGCAGATAGAGTCAAGAGCTCTGGCCCTGGCTGCTCTTAGGAAAGCCCAGGTGACAGCTGGACTCAAAGCAACATAGGTTGGGACCTGTGTGTTTTGGTTGCAGTTGTCCATTTTCAAACATCTTCAGGGATTTAAGCATCTTCCAGCACGTAATGGGTGAGGTTGTATTTAAAAATGCTGAGCTTTGAGCAGCTTTTTAAATTGGGGGGAAAAAAAAAAAATGGAATGGCACTTACTGCCGGGCTTCCTCCAATGCCCCCGCCAAGGTCACTGCCAAGCTGAAAGAGAGAAGGAGAGAGAGGAGAGAAAGACCGAGTTCATTTAAGCCAAGTGTCAGATGGCCGGAGTGGAGCTCAGTTGACCGCACTGCTGCGAGCACGTCTCGCTTGCTGCGTACAGGACAGACAGAAACGCAATGACGGGAAAGCACAGGGAACAGAGGGGCTTTTTTTGCTGTTGTGTGAGCAGAGCTATTTGGAGAACTACCCCACACACCTACTGCGGTCAGGAGCATTTTGCAGGTTAATAAGAACAAACACTCATCCCCTCTTGCACCTGTCATCTGTACCACAAACTCTGCGCAATTCTTCATGTTTCATGCATCAGTGCTTTCCCTTCAACCCACCATGCTGGCTGCCAGCAGTCCTGAGCAGCTCCACAAAACCCAGTGGGGTAACTGTGAAATGGAATAAAAATAAAACTGACAGGAAGCTCACTTCCTGAAAGCCTTCATTTTCTAGGGAACAGCTACCAACTACGGGAAAACACAATGCATCTTGGCTACGTTCCTCTGACATGCGGCTCTCTTCAATAACCAGGAAGAAAGAGAATGGGAGGTATGCCGGCTATTACAGCGGCTCAGATAGGTGGGCTTTGTCTTCCCTTTGAAGATTCGCCCCTCCCTTAGAGAGGACAGAACCAGCTTCATGATCTAATGGGCCACTCAAATAGTAAAGAGACCTTACAGTGCACTAGGATATTTCAGTAACGATCTCTGCCAAGCTACACAGCTACAGTTTGAAGTGACTGAAATAGCCATGGTATACCACCCGCGCAACCTTCCACAAACACTAAATCCTCCCTGGAGCCGTTCTGCCAAACCATCCTGCAGCCCACCTAGAAGCTGTCCTACTGTGAACTCCCTTTACAAAGCATCCAGACCACTTTCTCTGTGGTAAAGCCCATTTTTTTTTAAACATCCACACCATTCTACATGCTTGAGAGAATTCAGTGATCAGGACAGACTCCAAAGCTGGCTACAAGTGCTGTTTGTGAGTACAACACCACTCCTGTGAATATTTATAAAGCACTTGACAGATGACTGATAGCCAGGAGGAAACAAGCACAGATCTGCAGCAGTTATTCACTACAGAAACATCTCTAGGCTTACAGAATCATAGAATAGTTTGGGTTGGAAGGGACCTCTAAAGGCCATCTAGTCCAACCCCCCTGCCGTGGGCAGGGACATCTTCAACCAGATCAGGTTGCTCAGGGCCCCGTCCAACCTGACCCCAAATGTTTCCAGGGATGGGGCATCCACCACCTCTCTGGGCAACCTGTGCCAGTGCTTTACCACTCTCAGTGTAAACAATTTCTTCCTTAGATCTAGTCTAAATCTACCCCCCCTTTAGTTTAAAGCCCTTCCCCTTGTCCTGTCACAACAGGCCCTGCTAACAAGCCTGCCGCCATCTTTTTTATAAGCCCCCTTGAAGTACTGACAGGCTGCAATAAGGTCTCCCCGAAGCCGCCTCCTCTCCAGGCTGAACAACCCCAACTCTCTCAGCCTTTCTTCAGAGCAGAGGTGTTCCATCTCCCTGATCATTTTCGTGGCCCTCTTCTGGACCTGCTCCAACAGGTCCGTGTCTGTCTTATGCTGTGTCCTAGGCTTTTGTTCAGAAGGCCATGGCAGTTTTTGGCCTAGTGCAGGGTTTTTGTGTGTCACATTTAGACAAGGATCATGCCCCGACAACATGCATGGAGGATGAACCAAGTACAGGGGCGAGGTAGGAGCCAGCCCCACGGGGAAAAGGCTGGACTGGCAGACCAGAACAGCAGAGCTTGCCTCGTAGATGGCTTTGCTCTTCCCTTTGGTCAGGGTTTGGGGGGTTTGTTTGCTTTTAAAGAGCATTTGACAAACCGGGTCAACAAAGGCTCTAGGTACGTTATTCAAATATATGCTGATGTGATAAGGTATTGAAAAAACCCACCATATAGCTAAAGCAGAAGTTTCCAGGAGTGCACGTGCTTAAAGCCGAAAAGGCTCCAAGCCTTTTTGCACAACAGACCTGGAAATCCAACGTTGTTCTGGGCCCTGCTAGCCTGCTCCCTGGGAGATCTCATGGCAAATGTTTCTTACGCCGGTCAAGAGATACCATAAAGCTTCATACTTCTCTCTCTCTCAGAGCACAGATAAAAAGGATAAAATGCCTTGAGAACAGCAGCGAAGTTGCAAGACGGTGACTTACTAGACGATAACTAGCCTCCAAAAAAACCTGTAAAATTTGACAAATCCCTGTGCTGTTCTGGATCCCCCTTCTATCCCCTGGCATCTCTCCTTCCCCTAGTCCCCCACAGGAGCCACCTGATGCACTATTAGCTACCATAAGTAGGTGTTAGAGGAGTACAAATCACACAATTTGCCTTTTGTTAAGAAGCCTTAAGAGCTTTCTTCCCTTGTGTGAGACTCATTTTATCCCTACTTGAAGTCATGGCAGAAATTTATAGGAGGTCCCTCATCTTCTGCAACAGCCATCTCTTCATACAGCAACCCATCCTCTTGCACCCATGGCAGTGCAGGGCGCAAGTCCAGTTTTTCTTAGCTTACTTAAGAGATCACAGATGAGAGTGAGCAATTCCAAATTCAAAAGAAGGATCAGTCACAGTCCAAAGGAAGCCAGCCAGAGGATGCAAATCCAATTAATACTGAGCTTATGAAATAGAGCTTATTACACTGTCAGGTCTCCCCCACTGAAACAGCCTGGCAGGGCAGAGGTTTGTTCTACAGACTGCTCTTTAAGCCAAGCCATATTTTAGATTAATATATCAGATCATTTACATCTTGTTACTGGCTCACTGAGGAGTAATAAATGCAACTATTACACCTCATCCCTATTCAGAGTCTTGCATGCAGATGAACTTCACAGTTTATACTGACAGGCAGTGAAGTCCAGAGGAAAAGAAAAAAGGTAAAGAATCCAGTTCATTTCCAGATATTATTGTATGCACACAAGATTTCTGGTACTGTTGTCTGAAGCAGGAGAAAGACTGGTTTATCAAGCAGCAAGCATTTTACAAAGGGTATTATGGAAATGATTGAGTAATTCTGCATAATCAAGCCAGATGTTAACTATTCTACCATTTCCTACTACACTCATCATAAGAAGCTGCAGGCTAGGAATCCAACCTCGAAGAAACCCGTACACTGGTATCTCCATGCACTCACTGTGAAGGAGGGAAGGAGTGACATATCGGGGTTCCTCAAGCTATCCGCAAGTCTTCCATTTTCCCTAGCTGTCAGGCCTTAGGGGAAAAGTAGAATTTGGATTTATTGCTTGAGTCGAGACTCCAGCTCTCACTCCCTACAAAGCGGAGGAAAAACCTCACTGGATCAGAGAATTTACCATGAGCCTCCTTACATTTCTAGATTGCACCCAACATCTCTGCTTTGTGGTAGAAAAGATCTCTTTCCAATGCCAGGAGACTCTGACGTGCTCCCTCCTGAAGTCCCACTCTACTCACAGGAGGGGTCTGCACACAGCAGCCTGCCACTCTCTTGGCTCCTATGCTTGGGACCAACCGCTGCAGATGTGTATTACAAAGCTGCAGAGCAAGCTCCAGGGAGCTGGCAGCTTCACCATGTCCCTACAGGCAGAGCTGGCTCTGCCTGTATTGTGAAAAGAGAAGTGGCAACATACATACTTCAACAGAAATTAAAGGGGAGAAAAGTTAATAACGAACTAATCAGTTCCACATCAGATCCGGGGTGCAGTACCCATCGTAGCAGCAGAGAAGTCCCTCTTTCTCCATTTTTCTTGCCTGTCACCCTCCCGTATCACCAATGCTTTCCCTATTCAGAAACTACGGGTCCGGTTTACCCAATCTTCCTGCAAGATGCCCAAGATCTAACTTTATTCCAAACTCAAAACGATGCAAGAGACGGTAACAGTGACGTGTGTATGAGGGAAGGAGGAAGACAGAGGGAACAGGAACCAATTACCCACGGAGTGTCCTCTCCCATCTGGAGTGACAGGCAGAGTGCAGAAGGAAAGAAGCAGATATTAGTCAGGCGTGAAGTGCTACTGAACCAATTCCCCAGGGCTGGCAGCTCTAGTTAACCATTTCCATTCATCTCATGGGCAGGAAGACACTCCTGTCGGAAGGACGATGTGAACCAGCCTTACATGGGAACAGGCAACAGCCCCGCGGAGGAGAGGACCACATTAGTACAGCTGCCAGCCCTACCCAGGCTGAAACACTTGCTATGAAGGTGGGGTGGATGAGGGCTGCCACTTGATCCCAGGATGGCCAAGGGGAACTTTTGGCTGGGAACTTGTGGCACCGCAAAGCCCTGATCCTGAGCCCAAAGTTGGCAGGCTTGCCTCTTGCTGAAGAGCACAAAGCCTCTGTCCAGGATGAAGAGCTGCCAGCTTCAGGAGATGAGCAGGGAGCCTTGGCCACCAAACGCACAAAAGTTCTTCAAACAGGAATTCTCTTTATTCCCTCCAAACTCATCCTGCCACAACAGCACTCAAGCTGCCACATGAGTTTAAAGAAGAGGCTGGGCTCGATCCTACATCAACAAAAATAGTACTAGCACCTCTTCCCAAACTGCATTGGCGTCTTTACTTTGTATCAGTTGTCTCCGACGGTGTTGCGGCTGCTCTGCAATTGAAGAGCATCTGCCCTGTAATTTCAGCTCCATATAAGCAGTTATGCTGACTTATGAAGTGCAGCAGCGCTGGAGTTACTGCATTAAGAGGGTTTATTTGCATCTTAACAGCAGCTTGTAATGAAGTGACTCTGCTGAAGCGTTCATGTGATCCGGAGGGGTTACAATCACTTCTGCAACATGACGTGAGGCATTTGGAGCGCCAAAAAAAATAACAGGGAGGGTGGAGCCAGGGACAGAAGCTGCAACAACCATTGCTCAGCAACCGCTTTGCCGTGCGTCCATAGCATAGCCGGGGCTTTCACAGCAGCCGTGCACTTCATGAAGCCATAATTCACGGGTTAACAGGGGACAATTGCTGACTCCTCTCTCCCTCGCACCCCAAACCAA